GATCAAAGATGTCCTGATCAGGCATGCGCAGTAAGACACGTGAGTCTCACTTCTTCCAGCAGTTAAATGGTTAATTATGATTCATGATTCTGGTTTCATTTAAAAGAGTCGATCATCAGATATTGTCCAAGATTAACCTTCAGGGTGGATATAGCTCGCTCACACCGATGACCTATCCACGTCATCATTTACCCAGAATGCTTTGCATGTAAATAAAATGGCCCCGTCCATGTAATATATTTTTTAACTTTTAGTTTAAAAACGATAAAAACTGAACATCCTACAGTATTTTACAGTCTTTGTTTTACAGTTAAAAATATATGTTTATTAAATAAAGTCTAATGTTACAACTTGTGGATCCCTTTAAAAGATTACGACTTCAACCTTACCCTGGCAAATTCTACAGGTTTTGGTAGCAGGCACATGACCATAACATCAAAGCGCACTTCGCACACTGTCTTCAGCCACTTCGTGACAAACTGCGGCTTCAGCTTCTCCACCAAGCTTCCCACTTCATCGTCCATCATGTAGGCCGTGGAGTGGAACCACTGGAAGACCATGCTAACCAGACGAGCCAGACTCTCCGTAGGCGTGTTCTCATTGGGAGTGCACAGGCTCACCTGCAAACGTAACCAAAACGATGTTCATTTCTCTCTCTCCCAGCTTCCGTATTGAGAAACAACATTCTTTTTCATTACGCACCAGAAACCAGATGCCAAACTGACTGAGGAGGCGCTGGTCATGCTGGTCATCCTCCTTGTTGTCAAACTCAATGTTGTCCAGAGAGTGGTGGGAGGCAGACAGGCCCATTTGACGACGCTTGTTCAGCTCAAACTCACGCTGTTCTGCATAGATTTCTGCCTCCTTTAGAAGGCTGGGATGAAGACATGAAGAAAATCAGACATTGTTGAAGTAATGCACGTTGTCCACCGCCTTTCATTAGAGTATGTTCTGGGAATGACCCCCAGCTACTACCACAGCAAATCTTTACTCAATATCTACAAAATATATTGTTTTTTGTTTGTTTGTTTGTTTTTTGTTTTTTGTCTAGTTAAGGTTTATTAGCTCTGGTGGCCATCTTGAAATGGGTTCACTCCAAAAGCCTTTCAGCTATAAAGTGATATCCAGTAATTATTTTATATGCCTTTCATTAAAATCCACCTAGAGGTCATTATAGGGGACCAGATGTAAAAGAAAATGTTTAAATAATGTCACTAACATATTTTCATTATTTAGCTCACTTTCTGAAAGAAAAATCCTAGTTCAAAATTATTTTCAAAATGGAACCTAGCCTTTGCCGTTGGTGCACATCTCTTGCTAGGACATCATCATCCAGAGACAATAGCAATTGCTAATGATGCTAATGCTTCCCAACAACATGTCAAACTCTTCGGATGTTTACCTGTTTCTTGACCCTCAAAAATCTGCAATTCTCACAATAAATGCGTAGTACTCACTTGTGGTGGGTACAAAAGGACAAGTGGACTGTCGGCCACGGGGTAAGAAAGGCCTTGGGGTAAAGATAAGAGTGCCTGCAGCACAGAGGTGCAGGGAAAGGAGAACGGAGAGAGGTAAAGAACTGTACATCAGTATACCTGCAAATGGGGTGGGGGGGGGGTGTAATTTACAGACCATCTGTACAACTTGACATGTATGATTGCCAGAAGCTGCACTTCAAACTGCTGGATCACAGGTACCATCCATATTGTTTTCAATGAGCATATTTTGAATTTAAAATTTAAATGACATCAGCAGTGTTAGCAGTGTTTGCCTCGTTAACAGTGTTAGCAATGTTAGAAGTGTTAGCAGTGTTAGCAGCATTAGCAGCCGTGACAGCAGTGTTAGCAATGTTAGAAGTATTAGCAGTGTTAGCAGTATTAACAGTGTTAGCAGCATTAGTAGTGTTAGCAACGTTAGAAGCATTCGCAGTGTTAGCAATGTTAGCAGTGTTAGCAGCATTAGCAATGTTAGAAGTGTTAGCAGAATTAGCAATGTTAGAAGTGTTAGNATGTTAGAAGTGTTAGCAGAATTAGCAATGTTAGAAGTGTTAGTAGTGTTAGCAGAGTTAGCAGTGTTAGCAGCATTGGTAGTGTTAGCAATGTTATAAGTATTAGCGGTGTTAGCAATGTTAGAAGTGTTAGCAGTGTTAGCAGCATTAGCAGTGTCAGCAATGTTAGAAGTGTTAGTGTTAGCGGTGTTAGCTGTGATAGCAGTGTTAGCAATGTTAGAAGTATTAGCGGTGTTAGCAGMGTTAGTAGTGTTAGCAATGTTAGAAGTGTTAGCAGTGTTAGCAGCATTAGCATTGTCAGCAATGTTTGAAGTGTTAGCAGCATTAGCAATGATAGACGTGTTAGTAGTGTTAGCAATGTTAGCTGTGATAGCAGTGTTAGCAATGTTAGAAGTGTTAGCAGTGTTAGCAGCATTAGCAGTGTTAGCAATGTTAGAAATGTTAGCAGTGTTAGCAGCATTAGCAATGTTAGAAGTGTTAGTAGTGTTAGCAGAGTTAGCTGTAGGTGCGATAGCAGTGTTAGCAATGTTAGAAGTGTTACCAGTGTTAGCAATGTTAGAAGTGTTACCAGTGTTAGCAGTGTTAGCAGTGTTAAAATGTCATCATCCTGCAGCCAAAGCAACTGCTAACTCATTCCGAAATACCTAAAAGTGAACTTCAACATTTAGCCACAACATTTAAGATTTAACTTTTACATTTAGATTTAGGATTTAGGATTTGCATATATTCTTTAGCACTGCAATTCAATGTTTAGTAAAAATTAGCAAAAATGTAAGAACAGCAGATAAAAAAAAMTGTTAGAGGAAAATTTTTACTAAGCCTTGGCTTAGAAAATTTTTTAACTAGGATTTTATTCAGAAAATGAGCTAAATAATAAAAATATGTTAGTGACATTTTCCAATGACAAACACACACTTACACACACATTTACACACAAATACATGGGTAAAACCTTTGGTAGCAGGCAATAAAAGATGTAATAAAAATGTTTTTCAGGAGAGAGACCAAAGAGAATACGAATATGACCTGATATGAATTTAAATCTTCAAAGAAAGAGCTTGTTGTCTATTTATGCACAAAATATGAGCTTTACAGTAACACAGATATTTTTTAGTCATGACACGTGACTGCACTGGTACTTTGTTTATACCTTATAACAGCTTCAACGGTGCACACGAGCTCCTCCGCTCCGCACTCCCGGGTGTTGATGGGAGGGGGCGAGGTCTGGTACAGATGGGTCTCCGCCGCAGCCCCCACCTCGCTGCTGTGGTGGTTGACATGGCAACGCTTGCAGTAGCGGACAGGCCTGTTGCCATGGCGCTCGCAGCAGCCAGCTGAGAAGCAGGTGACCACGGCCCTCCTGACATGCGAGCTGCAGTTCTGCCATGCACAGGGCCAAGAAAACAGGAGGAGGAGGAGGGCGACGAAGAGGAGGGGAAACTAGTTTATCCTTTGTTTCATCAGAACAGTAACAGCTCCTAAAATAAGCGCATTTCTTTACTTAAAAAGCAGCTCACTGCTCAGATAACATGACTTTGCATTAAAGTGATCTGAGCACATGTGCAGTAAACAAGGGTTTTATGTGTCCCTGCGGCGTCTCAGGTTTCTAAAAATAAAAAGCATGGCACCAGATACCTATCCTAATCTGATCAGYCTCTAATCTTGTGCCATTAGAAAAATGCATTGCCTCCTATCAAACGTTATGAACACATTTGACTTGTGATGACTCGTTTGGCTTTCAACAAAAGGCTCAGTGCTGCTGTTTTTACAGTCTATTTTAGGTACCTTGGTGTATTTATAGRCAGCTATTCTCAGATGAAAAGTGATGTCTGTGTTAATAATGACGGAGTATGTGTAAATCCAAGTGGTGTTTTAATTTCTCAGAGCAAGAGGAGGATTATAAAGTGCTCAACGAGTCGAGGGTTCAGCACAGCTGCTTTCATGGACAACACAAGGTGGCTGCTCTGCCTGACAGGAATACCTGAGATCAGTTTGCTCAGTGTCTCTCTGGAAACCAGCAGGGAGCACGCAGGCCTGTGGAAGTGCATTCAGCTACAGCAAATAAACATCACGCTCCAGCAGCTTCATTAGAGAGATAGTCTGYACTGAGCAGCTTCAGTGAATGGACTCCAACTGAGAAAACAGCYAACTTTTATGAGTAAATGGCCTCATTATGGATCACAAATGAAAACCTGTGGCATGTTTTATTTATATTAGGTTTGGAATTTTATCCTTATACAGTAATTTAAAAAAACTGACAGCAAAAATTAATGTGCCGYAGATATAAACGTGCATTAAATGCAGTGAATTAGTAACAATGATGTTTTAACATAGATGACAGTGAATTTGAGCAACTATAGGAGAGAACACGAGCAGTTCCAGGAATGTCAATAATGTTAAAAAATTAACGACTCACTTTCTTCTGGCAAATGGCAGATATCTCTGCTGCAAAGAAAGACAAACAATAATGGAGGACAATTTGTTCCTAAATATTCACAAGTTATTTTTTACTTTGAAATTTAAAATGTGTAAAAATGAAAATATGATTTCAAAAGGGTTATGATGTGAATACAGCAGATGCTAATTAAAATACATTGCAGACTATTTTAC